CTATAGTTCCAGCTACTTGGAAGGCTGAGGTGGAAGGATCGCCGGAGCCCAGCAGGTCCAAGCTGCGTTGGCCAGGAGCGGCCACTGCACTCCAGCCTGGGCGACTGAGTAAGACTCCAACTCAAAAAAATAAAATAAAATAAAATAAAACAGTCTAGCTGTGTTGCCCAGGCTGATCTTGAACTCCTGGTCTCAACTGACCCTTCCACTTCTGAAAGTGCTGGGATTACAGGCATCAGCCAAAGCTTCCAGCTTTTAGTTCCTGATTTTAGGGTGAAAGCATTCAGTCTTTCACCTTGAAGTAGAATGTTAGGTATGGGCTTTACTTTTTCTTTTTTGAGTTGGAGTCTCATTCTGTCGCCCAGACTGGAGTGCAGTTGCATGCTCACAGTCACCGCAGCCTTGACCTGCTGGGCTCAGATGATCCGGCTCAGCCTTCCAAGTAGCTGGAACTATAGGCATACGCCACCATGCCCCGCTAATTTTTTTTTTTCGAGTTGGAGTGTCATGTTGCCCAGGCTGGAAGGCAGTGGCACACTCACCCCACCCCAGCGTCAACCTGCTGGGTTCCAGCGATCCTTCTGCCTCAGTCCTCCAAATAGCCGGAACTACTGGCGTGTGCTACCACACCCAAAGTGCTGGGATTATAGGTATGAGCCACTGTGCCTGGCCAGGTGTAGGCTTTTCATAGATATTATTAGGTTGGTAAATTCCCTTTTAATGACTAGTTTGCTGAGTGTGTTTCTTATTTTTTATAGACCAGCTGCATCTGAGTTTTTTTTTCTTTTGACTGTTTTAACTATGAATGGTTGCTGGGTTTTGTCTAATACTTTTGTGCCTATACTGAGATGATCATGTGGTTTTCTGTCCTTTAATATTAATATGGTTTGATTTTCATGTTTTGAACCAACTTTTCATTCTTGGAAATGCCACTTGGTCATGGTACATAATATTTTTTTATAAATTGCTGGAATCAATTTGCTAGTATATACGTTGTTGCAGATTTTTATATCTATATCCATAAAGGGTATTGGTCCATACAGGGTATTGACCCATAAAGGATATTCTTGTCTTTGCCTAGTCGTGGCATCAGTATAGTAATGCAGGGCTCACAGAATGAGCTGGAAGGTGCTCTCTCCTATTTTTTGGAAATATCTGTGAAGGGTTGGTGCTATTTCCTTTTTAAACATTTGGTGAAATTCATCAGTAAAGCCACTGGGCCTGGAGCTTTCTTTACGGGAAGTTTTAAAATGTTCAGATTTCATATTTCTTCTTGAGTCAGTTTCAGTGTTTGTTTTTCTAGCAATTTGCCCATTTATCCAAGTTAACTAGTTTGTTGCCATAGTTAATTTATTGTATTCCCTTATATTATCATCCTTTTTTTTTGAGCTGGGGCCTCACTCTGTCTCCCAGGCTAGAATGCAGTGGCACAATCATGGCTCATTGCAGTCCTGACCTCCTGGGCTCAGGAAATCCTTCTGCTTCAGCCTCCCAAGTAGCTGGGAATACAGGTGTGTGCCACTATGCCTGGCTGAATTTTTGTAGAGATGAGGTCTTACTATGTTGCCCAGGTTGGTCTTGAACTTCTGGGCTCAAACAGCCCTCCTCCCCAGGTTCCCAAAGTGCTAGGATTACAGGTGTGAGCCAGTGTGCCCAGTCTCCTTATAATCCTTTTTTATCTCAGTAAGGTCTGGAGTGATTCTGGTAATATGACATCTCTACGCTTTTTTTCTTGGCCCATGTAGTAAAGGCCTTTCAATACTGTTGGTCTTTTCAAAGAACCAACTTTTAGTTTCGTTGATTTTCCTCTATTGTTTTCCTATTCTTTATTTCACTTATTTCCACTCTATACTTTCCTTCTTTCCATAAGCTTACACTAGGTTTAGTTTACCTTTTTTCTAGGTCCCTAAATGTAAAATTAGGTAACTGATTTGAGGCTTTTTTTGGAGTTGGACTCTCACTCTGTCGCCCAGGCTGGAGTGCACACTCATGGCCACCAAAACGTTGACCTGCTGGGCTCAGGTTATCCTTCCACATCAGCCTTCCAAGTAGCTGGAATTACAGGTGCGCGCTACCATGCCCAGCTAGTTTTTTGATTTATTGTAGAGATGAGGTTTCACCATGTTGCCCAGGCTAGTCTAGAACCCGTGCGCTCAGACAATCCTCTCGCCTCAGTCTCCCAAAGTGCTGGGATTATAGGCTTGAGCCACCACACCCGGCCTGAGTTCCTTTTTAAGAGATGAGTCCTGCTGGGCTGAACTCAATTCCTAAACTCAAGTGATTTTCCCACCTCAGCCTCCTGAGTAGCTGGGATTACAGGTGCATATTAGATATTGGTTCTTTGTTTTCTTTTTTTTTTTGAGTTGGAGTCTCACTCTGTCACCCAGACTGGAGTGCAGTGGCTGCTCCCGGCCATCGCAGCCTCGACCTGCTGGGTGCCGGCGATCCTTCCGTCTCAGCCTTCCGAGTAGCTGGAACTACAGGCGCATGTTACCATGCCCAGCTAACTTTTTGATCTATTGTAGAGATGAGGTCTCGCCAAGTTGCCCAGACGGGTCTCGAACCCGCGGGCTCAGGCAATTCACTCACCTCAGGATTACAAGCTGAGCCACTGAGCCCGGCTGCTTTGTTTTCAAAATAGGTATTTTTTTCAGCTATAAAATTTTTTTTTTTTTTTGAGTCAGAGTCTCATTCTGTAGCCCAGGCTGGAGTGCAGTGATGTGCTCATGGTCACCACAGCCTCAACCTGCTGGGCTCAGGCGATCCTTCCGCCTCAGCCTTCCAAGTAGTTGGAACTACAGGTACATGCCACCATGCCCAGCTAATTTTTTTGATTTACTGAAGAGACAAGGTCTACCATGTTGCCCAGGCTGGTCTTGAACCCGTGGGCTCAGGCAGTCCTCTCGCCTCTGTCTCCCAAAGTGCTGGGATTATAGGCTTGAGCCATGATGCCGGGCTTCAGCTAAAAATTTCCCTGCAAATACTGCTTTTAGTGTATCCCATAGTTTTGATATATCGTGTTTTTGTTTTCATCATCTCAGAGTATTTTCTAATTCCTTCTATGACTTCTTCTTTGACCCACTGGTTATTTAGGTGTGTATTAACTTCCACATTATTTGTGAACTTTCCAGCTTTCCTTCTGTTATTGACTTTTTTTTTTAGATTAAAAATATAGTTTATTTAGAAAGTAAATGAGAGAGAGAAAGGAGATTTACCTCCCTAAGGTAGGAGAGGGGGCTACAGCTAAAAGAACACCTGGCCACACCATAGGTTTGCAAGGAAATGGCTGTTACTGACTTCTAATCACATTCTGTTGCACTGTGTGGTTCTAATCTTTTTAAATTTATTGAGGCTTGTTTTATAGTCTAGCAAATGGCCTACGCTTCATGTTGAGAAGAATGCATAATCTGCTGTTATTGGGTGGTATTTTTTTTTTTTTGAATTGGAGTCTCACTCTGTTGGCCAGGCTGGAATACTGTGGCACATTCACCGCCACCCCAGTATCATCAACTTGCTAGGCTCTGGCAATCCTTCCGCCTCAGTCTCCCAAGTAGCCAGAACTACAGGCACACGCTACCATGCCTGGCTTATTTTTTTAATTTATTGTAGAGACGGGGTCTCGCCAAGTTGCCTGGGCTGGTCTCAAACCCGCAAGCTCAAGAAATTCACTCGCCTTGGTCTCCCAAAGTGCTGGGATTACAGGCTGAGCCACTAAGCCCAGGTGTTTTTTTTTTAAAAGTGAGAAAGCAGGATTTATTGAGAGGACAGAAAACCTCCCACAGTGGGAGGGGACTCGAGGGGTTGCCCCGGGTGTTATTTTTTATAGATCATTTGTAGTGTTGCTGAAGTCTTCTGTTTCCTTGACTTTCTGCCTAGTTGTTCTATCCAATAAAATTAGTTTCTATACCTATACATGTATGTGCATGTTATGTGTTTTGTCTAGCATGCTACCAAATTGGCTTATAAGTAAATGAGTACTCATAAATTAAATAAATCTAAATGTTTTTCAAGTTCATGTGGCTTTAATCATCTTTGGTAAATAAAAATGGCTTTTACATTGTTAATGAACGTGTCTTTGAAATTGTCAGCACAGATTTTTTTTCTAGGTCTACTAAATAGATAAGTTTTACACTTGCCTCTGTTAGATATTTTAAAGTGTCAGGGTTTGAAACAAGAGTTATAAAACCATATGGGCAACCCCTTCAGGTCCCCTCCCCCTGTGGGAGCTTTTCTGTCCTCTCAATAAATCCTGCTTTCTCACTTAAAAAAAAAACCATAAAGCTAGCCAAAACCAGACTAATCTTTATTTATATGAATTGTTTTTTCACAAGGAAGACTAAGATTGTTGGGTCCATGAAAATAGCTAAATCTTCTGAATTATCGGTAAAAATGCCCATAACTTTAAGATTTTAAAATTTAAGTATACCTGATGTGCACAGGCTTTAAAAATGATTAACCTGGAGATAACTTAAACAATGACTATCTTTGTCTAAAATCTGTTTTCATAAGTACTTAAACTGCTAAAAATTAATACATTGACAAAATATAAATGAGATAATGCTTATGGGTCAACTTTTTATGTGATTTAAAATCTCTCTTTTTTTTAAATTGAGTCAGTCTCCCTCTGTTACCCAGGCTGGAGTGCAGTGGCATGTTCACAGCCACCGCAGCCTCAAACTGCTGGGCTTAGACAATCTTTCTGCCTCAGCCTTCCAAGTAGCTGGAACTACAGGTGTGCGCAACCATGCCCAGCAAACTTTTTTTATGATTATCGAGATGAGGTCTTACTGTGTTGCTCAGGCTGGTCTTGAACCACTAAACTCATGCAATCCTCTCGCCTCTACCTCCCAAAATGCTGGGACTACAGGCATGAGCCACTGTGCCTGGCTGAAATCTTAAAATTATTTTAAAGCTCATTAAATGTCTGTGTCACTTTCTTTTTTATTTTTTTTGAGTTGGAGTCTCACTCTGTCACCCAGACTGAAGTGCAGTGGCCACTTCCGGCCACTGCAGCCTCAACCTGCCCGGCTGATTTTTTGATTTATTGTAGAGATGAGGTCTCGCTGCCCAGGCGGGTCTCGAACCCTCGGGCTCAGGCAATCCACTCACCTCAGCCTCCCAAAGGTGCAGGATTATAGGCTGAGCCACCGAGCCTGGCTGTGATTTAATTTTTAAGTGTGGCTTCCTAGAAGTTGCTCTGGGTGAGAGTAACTTATTATTTAGTCAGTGTTTGACTAGAGGTTATGTTTGAGTCTCTAATGAGAGCTACATCTTTTGTTGATAAACCCACTTATTTCTTAGGGCTGCTGTAATAAATTAGTACAAACTGGATGGTTCATACAATAGGAATTTATTCTCTCAAAGTTCTGGAAGCTAGAAGGTGCTGGCAGGGCCACGTTCCCTCCAAAGGCTCTAGAGAAAAATCTTTCCTTGGCTCTCCCTGGCTTGTGGGGGCCCCAGCAATTCGTGGTTTATAGATTCATTACTCCCATATCTCTGTCTTCACATGGCAATCTTCACTGTGTGTCTATGTATTTCTTTTCCTCTTATAAAAACACCAGTCAGCCTGGACTTAAGGCCTACACAAACCCAGCATGACCTCATCTTAAATAATTACATCTGTAAAGACTTTATTTCCAAATAACATCACATTCTGGGGTTCTGGGTAGACATGAATTTTTGGGAGGACACTAGTCAACTCTGTACAATCTATGTGTGGCTTGGGAATGTTATCAGGAATACTCCAAACCCACTCTGATGGCTCCCAATGGGGTATAGCTAAAATATCTACACAGGCTTCTCATCCCCCAGGGTATGCACAACAGTCTCCAGTGAGTGTAATCCCAGGAGGGCTTTTCATGGCATCTTTTCCCCTGGTGTTATCAACAACTTGTTGCTCTGCTCTTTTGCTTGTTGCTTCTAGTATCACAGGAACTATTAGAGCCCTCTTAATTAGTCTCCACCATGATATCCATTGTTCTTTACTCAGGCTTTGGAATTCTCTACCTTCTGTCCTAAGTAATGTGAGTCCCCTGAGGCAGAGCTGAGGAACCTCTTCCCCTGAACAGAACTTCTGTGCCTTGCTGTGGGTTCAGTGATGCCCTCTATTCTAGGGGCAGGTGCTGGGGTCAGAGTCCTTGGGAATGTAGCATTCTCAGCCTGCCATGCATGCCTGGAATGGAGCTTCCAACCTAGCAGCTAGCTCAAGGAAGGGAGTCTCAGCCTGCTTGGCTGTGCCCACCAGGAACAGAGCTTCTGTAATCCCAGACTAAGGCAGGTCAGATCCACTGGCACCTGATCTCTGGGAATAAAACCACAGCCCTAAGACTGGGAATTGGTGAAGGGGAGAATCACCCATCTTCTTGACCAGATCTGCCCAAAGCCGAGCACCTGGAGTCGTTTCATAAGAGGGATCTGGGAGGAAGCAAGTTGCAGCTCAGATGCCACAGACTATGGCTGTTATTACTGAGATTTAGTAGATTTTCTTGAATTAACTGTTTCTTCATTTGTTGTATGCCCTTAGGACAATTTCCAAAAACTCCAAAAAACTGTTTTTGAAACTAATTTCTCCAGTTAATGGTTGTTTTGTTGGAAGACAGGGTTTGCCATGCTCCTCATCCTACTATTTCAGAAGCAGAAATCTTGTACCTCTATTTTTATGTCTACATTAAAAATTTTCCTTCTGAAAGTGATTATACGTAACTAAGATTTAAAGTTACTCACAAGGAATATTTTAGCGTGTCATCTAATTCCATGATAGCTGCCTGGTTCCCACAACGGTAACAGTAATTGGGTGCACTGAAAATGGTAACCACATTCCGATCATGACACCAATTGTATCCCTGCAGCATAAAAAAAAAAAAAAATCAATATTTCATTATAATATTATGATCTTGATATGGGTAAGTTTAAACCAGGGTACTAGTACATGGAGATCAGCACTTGTGTTGTTTTGCTTAATCTATGCCTGAGATTTTTTTTTTCTTTTTTGTTTTTTGAGTTGGAGTCTCACTCTGTCGCCCAGACTGGGGTGCAGTGGCCACTCCCGGCCACTGCAGCCTCAACCTGCTAGGTGCTGGCGATCCTGCCTCCTCAGCCTTCCAAGTAGCTGGAACTACAGGAGCACGCTACCAAGCCCAGCTAATTTTTTTTTATTTATTGTAGAGATGAGGTTTTGCCAAGTTGCCCAGGTGGGTCTCGAACCCACGGGCTCAGGCAATCCACTCACCTCAGCCTCCCAAGGCGCGGGATTATGGGCTGAGTCACCGAGCCCAGCTTATGCCTGAGATTTGAGCTAGGATGCATGCTGGAATGTCTCCCAAAATCATAATAAACTGAATTTTCCCTCAAATATTATGCCAATTTTTGCTACACACACACACACACACACACACACACACACACACACACACACACACACTGCGTGTGTGTGTGTGTGTGTGTGTGTGTGAATGTATGTGTGTGTATATATATATTTTTTGAGTTGGATTCTCACTCTGTTGCCCAGGCTGGAGTGTAGTGGCAAGCTCGTGGCCACCGTAGCCTCGACCTGCTGGACTCTGGTGATCCTTCCGCCTCAGTATTTCAAGTAGCTGAAACTACAGGCACTCACCACCATGTCTGGCAAATTTTTGATTTATTGTAGAGATGAAGTCTCACCAAGTTGTCCAGGCTGGTCTCAAACCCATGGGCTCAGCCAATCCTCTCACCTCAGCCTCCCAAAGTGTTGGTACTACAGGCATGAGCCAACATGCCTGGCATATATTATATGTTTATACAATATATATATTTATATATAAAGGGTGCCAAAAAGTATATACACATTTTAAGAGTAATAATCTTGGAATGAAAACTTTCTATTTTGCTGTTTTAAGACTGTATTGTATGGTTGTTCTGCTAATTGCTGTCTCACACGCACATTGTTTGGTATAGACTTCTGTGGTGAGCGTATAAACTGTTCTAACATCACAGCAGAAGCAGCAGGAGTTGTTGCTGTGCGAGGCCTCCAGGATCTTCCCTTTAGCACATCACATGGTACTACACTTCTCAAACTTAACACGAATGCATGCAACTGTCAGGCGTGTTGGAGGTTTGGTTGCATGCGCATGCCTCCGTTGTCATTGTACTTCCACAACATTCTCGAATTTCAAATACCACTTCAAAATGGTCTTGGGCTACACAACCGTGCTTCCACCATTTTTTTGACTGTCCTGCCTGTGGCATGGTGATGCTAGCACTCATTTGATTAATGTCATACTACACATTGCTACTGTCATTCAACTTTGAAAAGTAATACGTAGATAACATCTCTTAAAAAGTGTATATCTGTTTTTGGCACCCTTTGTATACGAATGTATATGTATTTTTAGTCAGGGTCTTACTCTGTCACCCAGGATGGAGTGCAATGGTACGATCATGGATCAACACAGCCTCAAACTCCTGGGCTCAAGTAATCCTCTTGTGTCAGCAGGAGGAATTAGGTATGTCCCAAATAACTGATAATTTTTTTTTTTGAGTTGGAGTCCCACTCTGTCACCCAGACTGGAGTACAGTGGTCGCTCCCAGTCACTGCAGCCTCGACTTGCTGGGCTCCAGCGATTCTTCCGCCTCAGCCTTCTAAGTAGCCAGAACTACAAGTGCACGCTACCACACCTGGCTAACTTTTTTGATTTATTGTAGAGATGAAGTCTCGCCAAGTTGCCCAGGCGGGTCTTGAACCAGCGGGCTCCGGTAATCCACTCACCTCAGCCTTCCAAAGTGCGGGATTACAGGCTGAGCCAACTGAGCCTGGGGATAAATTTTGATTATTTAACCAATTTGAGAGTCTTTAAGCAAGTCAAAATTTTAGTCCATTTCTGTTTCTTATAACAGATATAATGAGATTTATTTTTAGGATATGAATTTGTGTTTTTTTTCTTTTCCTTTTTGAGTCAGGGTCTCACTCTGTTGCCCAGGCTGGAGTGCAGTAGCATAATCATAGTTCACTGCAGCCTCTACCTCCTGGGCTCAGGTGATCCTTCCTCCTCAGTCTCCCGAATAGCTGGAACTACAGGTGCACATCACCATGCTTGGCTAATTATTTTAATTTTTTTGAAGAGATGAAATCTCATTATGTTGCCCAGGTTGCTGTTTTCTTTCATTATCATATTCTCACCACTTTCCTTGCTTCTATAGAGCTGGTACAGTTGTCTCTAACATCATGAAGCCAGTTGCTATTGGTTTGGAGGGATTATGTTCTATTTACTGTCCTTCAGTAAAGTCCTTAACTGTCCTTAACTTTATAAAATAGCAACATTACAGTGGGAAAAACTGGTAAACATCACCCTAACTAAGTGATTAAAATTAACATACCAGAAGCGAGAAACATACAGAATTCACCACAAAATCATTCTATGGCATGTCAATGCATTCTATGCCAAAAATGCATAACTGGAATTAACTGCAGAAAACATAAGTCAAACCCTAGTTTAGGGATACCTTTACCAAATAAAATGTTTTCATTCCTCCAAAATGTCAAGATCACGGAAAATAGAGGTATTATTTCTACATCAAAGGAGTCAATTGCAACCTGATTTTAGATTGTATACATGTGGCATGCACAAAATGAGCTTAAAAAAAAAAAAACACTAGAGATAAAAAATTAAATTAAAAAAAATTAGAGATAATTAGCCAAATTTGAATGAAGTGTTTAGATTATAAAACAGACTGGGTTGTATCACTGTACATTTTCTGACTGTAATAACTATACTGTGATTATGTAAGAGAATGACCATAACTTTACAAAATACACATGGAAATCTGGAGGTAAAGGAGCATTTGTCTACAACTGATATTCAAATAGTCAGAAGAAAGCAAAGTGTGGGGGAAGGGAGACAGAGACAGAGACAGAACGATAAAGCAAATACAGAAAATATTTGCATTTAGAAATTTGAGTGAAGGATACAGGGAATTTTGGGGTACTATTTTTATAATTTTTCTCTAAGTTTCAATTAATTTCAAAAATGAGCTATAGTTTTGTTCTAGCCCATTGGTACTTTCTCTACTATTAAGATTAGCAAGTTCTTCCTCCTTTAATCCAGGTAATGAGGAGGAATGTTTCTTTTATTCGAAGTTAGGAAGCCCTAACTACAGACATATATGCTAATCTGAAATGAAAGATTCTCCTGTAAGAAAAGTACATACCTCCATCACAAGCTGGTGAGCCCGAGAAACCAGTGTGAGACCATTGGCGTGGTTAAATGTTTCAGAAATGTCTTGTCCAAATGTGTAACCAGCACCACGTGGTGAAATACCCCACCCACCACGATCATCTGGATCTGACCATAACAGATCACACATTGGGCCCTGGTCAAGAAAATTAAGTATGTATTACAAATTATTACCGGTCACATTTAATAAATTTATCTTTCTTATAATGTGGTTCTATTTTGTTTTCATTTTTTAAAACTAAGTTTACCTCATGTGGAACTTCTTGTAAACGATCCAGGGCTCTTATATGATCCAGTGTGTCTATGGATGGAGAGAGGCCACCATGGAGGCAAAATATCTGTTTATGAATGTAAAAAGAAAATGTATTTGTATTAGTAATTGTCAGAAGTTAATGAAGAGTAAACAATGATTACACATACCAATCCTAACAACTCTTTTCAAAATAATTTTTAAAAACATTTACTGCTGGGCTCGGTGGCTCAGCCTGTAATCCTGTGTCTTTGGGAGGCTGAGGTGAGTGGATTGCTGAGCCCGCGGGTTCGAGACGTGCCTGGGCAGCGAGACCTCATCTCTACAATAAATCAAAAAATCAGCTGGACGTGGTAGCGCATGCCTGTAATTCCGGCTACTTGGAAGGCTGAGGCGGAAGGATCGCCGGAGCCCAGCAGATTGAGGCTGCGGTGGCCGGGAGCGGCCACTGCACTCCAGTCTGGGCAACCGAGTGAGATTCCAACTCAAAAACAAAAACAAAACATTTACTGTGGAAAATTTCTAAAATACAAGAAAAAACAAACATCACCTCATCAACAAAACTGCTAACATTTAAATGTTTATCCCATATTTAAAAAATTTTTATTTACATATCATTTTTGTCCTCTCCCTGGTAAATGAGGCCACCATCTTTGTGACCTGCCATTACATTTTCTGTTGGTTATTGCTATGTGTAAAATTTTGTTTCTCTTATAGCAAACACCCTACTGATTTCTGTTATTGGTTACAATACTTTTTCAGTTTTCCGAGATTTTCTTTTTTCTTTTCTGAGTCAGTCTCCCTTTTGCCCAAGCTGGAGTACAGTGGCACAATCATGACTCATCACAGCCTTGACCTCCTAGGCCCAGGCAATCCTTCAGCCTCAGCCTCAGCCTCCCAAGTATCTGGGACTACAGGTGCATGCCACTATGCCTGGTTAAGTTTTTGACTTTTTTTGGGGGGTAAAGACAAGTTGCCTACGCTGTTCTGAAACTCTTAGGCTCAAGCAATTCTTCTGCCTTGGCCTCTCAAAGTGCTGGGGTTACAGGTGTGATCCAATTTTCCCAGATTTTCTGAGTATATGTAATCATTTCTTTTGCAAAAATATCAAAAATATTTGTTTTTTCTTCTAATACCTTTTTAAATCTTTTTATTGCTCAGTGTATTGACTAGGACCTCTAAAACAAAACTGAATACAAGTGTGTGGGTTTTTTTCTTGTATATAAGACAGGGTCTTGCTATGTTTCCCAGGCTGGTCTCAAACTCCTTGGCTCATGTGATTGATCCTCTCGTCTCAGCCTCGCAAAGTGCTGGGATTCCAGGTATGAGCCACTATGCCTGGCCACAAGTGTTTTCTCTAAACTATTTATTTTCAGGTCCAGTCTTTGAGGATTCCGAATGAGAAAGAATAATACAAATATTCTCATAATTTTGATGAGAAGATTTCAAATATTTAACTGATAAGAATAATCAGTGTTTTCTTATCCAGTTAATGCTATTAAATTTTATTTCTTAATAACTGAGCTTTAAACCATAAATGGACACAGGATTTTTCTTCCCCATATGATTTTGGTCCAACTTTATTTTTCTGTGCTTGTCATGTCTAGGAGAGGAGAGCAGAGAGAAATAAATATACACAAGCTCTAAAACACCATTTTAAAAGCTAGATAGATTGCCAATTCTGACAGGCTATCTTTCAAAAATAATTTTGTATGGTAATTTTAATGCTAATGAAGACTAACTATACTGCTAAAAAAAGTAAAATCCAACTTAATTACAAATGAACACTTATTTATTTATTTATTTTTGATTTGGAGTCTCACTCTGTTGCCCAGGCTGGAGTGCAGTGGCACACTCACAGCCACCTCAGCATTGACCTGCTGGGCTCTGGCGATCCTTTCGCCTCAGCCTTCCAAGTAGCCGGAAACACAGGCACACACTACCATGCCCGGTTACTTTATTTATTTATTGTTGAGATGAGGTCTCGCCAAGTTGCCCAGGCTGGTCTCGAATCTGTGGACTCAGGCAACCCACCTGCCTTGGCCTCCCAAAGTGCTTGGGATTACAGGCTGAGTCACTGAGCCCAGCCAAAATGGAACACTTTAAAAAATGATTTTCTTTTACTTTAGCAAGTCCAGGCAAAATATTATCCTTTCAAATTTTTATTTTTTTTTTTGAGTTGGAGTCTTACTCAGTCACCCAGACTGGAGTGCAGTGGCCGCTCCCGGCCACCGCAGCCTCGACCTGCTGGGCTCCAGCGATCCCTCCGCCTCAGCCTTCCAAGTAGGTGGAACCACAGGAGCGCGCTACCACGCCCAGCTGATTTTTGATTTATTGTAGAGATAAGGTCTCGCCAAGTTGCCCAGGCGGGTCTTGAACCCGCGGGCTCAGGCAATCCACTCACCTCAGCCTCCCGAAGGCGCGGGATTACAGGCTGAGCCGGGATTACAGGCTGAGCCACTGAGCCCGGCTCAAATTGTTACTGTGTCCAAAATCATGGCTGAGAAATGTGGACCGTCAGGAGTAGGCAGAGGTCATAGCCAAATTATATTCCCACTAGCAGTCCAAGAGAGTACCTGTTACACTTTCGATAATTCTGAAATTACAGACTTTTATCATATATTTTATATTTAAATTTAAGCCAGTTCATGCACATAGTGATTATCTCTAGAAATTGGGATAATAGGAGACTTGCATAATTTTTTTTTTTGAATCAGGGTCACATTGTTGCCCAGGCTGGAGTACAGTGGCCCAATCATGATTCAGTGAAGCCTCCAAATCCTGGGCTCAAGCAATCCTCCTGCATTAGCCTGCTGAGTAGCTTAGCTGGAAATACAGGTGCGGGCCACACCACACCCAGCTAATTTTTAAAAAACTTTTTGCAGAGATTAGGTTTCACTACGCTGCCCAGGCTAGTCATAAACTCCTGGGCTCAAGTGATCCTCCTGCCTCTGCTTCCCAAAGTGCTGGGATCACATGCGTGAGCCACTACCCCATAATTTTTTCTTATAATCCTTGCAATTACCTTGAAAATAGGAATGAAAGTTATTAAAGGAGCAGACACTATGTATATGTGTGAAGACTGTTTTACATTACATCTTGCTTTATTAGTATGATACATCAGTGTCAAGTATTTACCTATAAAATCTGTTGCTAGTTTAAGAAGCACATTAGCATGATCTTTAGCTAAAAGATTTATACAATATCTGAGAACAACTAGAAAACTTGCGGGTCTAAATGCGTGTAAAACTGATCCAATTCCCTTCTCTGAAATTTTACGTATAAGAGAGAGACAGAAAAGGTCAAAGAGACACAGAAACACATGCCATATAAATCTAGATCCTAACTTACCAACAGTAAGTCTTTCCCTTCGTTTACCTGCCCACAAGATATAAGAACAAACATACACACCTGTCCATCTACTAAAGCTGTAAGTGGAAGATAATCGAAGAGATCTGTAAAATATTTCCAAACATTGGCATTCCCATACTTTCGTAGACATTCATCATAAAAGCCATATACTTGGGTAATTTGTCGGCTTTCATGATTTCCTCTCAATATTGTAATGCGTTCTGGATAACGCACCTGGAAGAAAAGGAAAACCTCACAGTACAATCACATGTCTACTAGTGTCACAGTAAGCACATTAATCTCTCACCCATGTCTTCAAATGGCTCTGTTGGCCACTAGTTAATTAAGGGTAACGCTTTCTCAGAATAAAAAACTTTCTCATTCATAACTAGGTCTTATGAATATTTGAAATATTTTTTATAGTCAATCCTCATTATATTCATACTATGCTCACTAGAACCTTTAACTGATACCTATATTACTACAAACTTGCATCTGACTCTTTGTTGCTATTATCTTCACCATCATCAGACTATCATTAGTCTTCTAAATCCTTCCAGAACACTATGACTTCTTCCTGCTGAAAGGACAGTGAAGATCAGAGGTTTGAAATCGAGACAGATTCCTCTACAAACTAACGCCTTCCTTTTCAACTTTTATTTCCTACAGGAAGATTTGATTTGCTAATAAAAACATAAAATAGGCTCTTGCCAAATCTGGGCAAGATTTCAAATGTATTAATAGTTTCCTTTCTATGACAAAACAAAAACATAACCATATTATTTAGTTAGGACTAAATCTGATAAGAAGTATGAAAAAGTTTTCTTCCAAGTAGGATCAGAGTAAAATGATTTTTAAAAAAAGTAGTATGTAAAAGCATCAGAGTTCATAAATTAAGCAGAAAGCAAAAATATATACTTTAATTCATACATATTTACTATGCTCTCATTGTGCATCCAAAATTAAGTTCAGTGCTATACAGATAGGTGCCAAGTCCACACAAGTTTAGTCACGTGCTGCATAACGTTTTTGGTCCAATAATAGATTGAATATACGATGGTGGTTGGAGCAACAGGCTATACCACATAGCCAAGGTGTGCAGTAGGCTATACTGTCTACTTGTGCAAGTACACTCTATAATGTTCACAAGATGATGGAATCGCCTAATGACACATTTCTCAGAATGTAGCCCCTGTAGTTAAACAGTATGTGACTGTACAAAATATGGCTTCTGTTTAGGAATTAACCTAAGGAGATACGTAAAATAAATAATACAAGACAATAAGCCATTTTGTAACATAAACAAAGGGTGAGAGAATAAGTTTCATCACAGTAATTTAGAGCAGAAGAAATAAGGTTAAAATGGCTGAGGGCTACATGGAAAAAATTAGACTTGGGCTGAGTTTTGGCAGACGTGGTAGGAAACCAGGGACAGAGTAATCTTATAGGGAATTTGAATAAGGAAATAAATGAAGATTGTCTAGAGTGCTAAATAATATGAAAACTCTTTGAAGCAGAGTTTATGCTACCAACTAATGGCAGGCAGGCAAACTGAGACTAGACTACAGAGGGCCAGTCAAGGAGTTTGAGTTCAATTCCATAGGGCAACTTGTAATCAAGAAGAGTTTGAGAGTACGGAAGTAACAAACTAAAAGTGTTAACTAAGGGAGATTTCATCTGACAGCACATGCAAGGTGGATTTGGAGCGATTAGATCTTGGAGGCCTAAGTATTAGTTACCCAGCTATTGCAACAATCCAAGTGTGAAGTGGTAAATTGTGGTTGTAGTAAAAATAGATAGATAGAGGAATAACAGACTTTCGAGGCAAGAATTTAAAAAGACTTGTTTACTGACTCAATATGAAGAATAAGTGACTAAGTCAAATATGAGGACTATGCAATAAAATGATATTTACTAGAAGCAGGCAGAAGTCATGAATCATTTTCACCTTTTAAAAAAATTTATTTAATTTTATTTTGTTTTTTAAAGAGATGGGGTCTTGCTATATTGTCCAGGCTGGTCTCAGACTCCTGGGCTCAAGCAATCCTCCTGTCTCGGCCTCCCAAGGTGCTGGGATCACAGACGTAAGCCATGGCGCCAGGTCCTTACTTTCATTTTTTAAAAAAAGTAAAACCGATAATAACCAAATAATAATTTTAAGGGGCTATAAACTGAATGGACCATAAAACAGAACAGATGATATGCAATGCTGCCATTCTTGCCTTTTGCCAGGTTTAAAGCTTGAAAAAGGAAAAATGAATTTAATTAATCATACCTTTAATGCTACAAGAAGAGTCACAGTTTCCACTGAATAATAGCCTCTGTCTACATAGTCACCCATGAATAAATAGTTTGTATCTGGTGATTTTCCACCAATTCTAAAGAGTTCCATAAGATCATGAAATTGACCATGCACATCTCCGCAGACTGTAACGGGACAACGAACCTCTTGTACATTTGATTCTTTTGTTAAAATTTCCTTAGCCTGTTAGAAAGATGAAACCAACAATTAAAAAAAATTCTATCACAAATTTAAAGGTATCACTTCTTATCTATGAAAAGAAAATCTGAGGAAAAAACAAAGTGTGTCCATAAAGCATAAATGAAAACCACAATGAGATACGGCTTTACTAGAATTTCTGTAATAAAAAAAGACAGATAACAACAAGTGTTTGCAAGATGTAGAAAAACTGGAATCCTCATACACTGTTGGTGGAAATGCAAAATGGTGCAGCTGCTGTGAAAAACAGTCTGGCAGTCCCACAGGAAATTAAACACAGATCCTAAAATCTAGCAATTTCACTCCTTTCTCGATATGTACTCAAGATAAATGAAAACCTGTTTATACATGTCCATGGCATTATTCATAACAGTCAAAAAGTGGAAGCCACTGACATATTCACCAACTGATAAATGGATAAATACAGTATATCCATACAATGTAATATTTATTCAGCAATAAAGAAATGAAGCACTGATATATGCTACAGTTTTGAAAACATTATGCCAAATGAAAGAAGCCAGTTACAAATGGTCACGCAATATACAATTCCATGTACACAAAATATCCAGACTAGGCAAATCCCCAGAGGCAGAAAGTAGATCAGTGGTTAGGGCTTGGGGCAGAGGAGGACTGGAGGGACTGGGAGTTCTTGGCTGAGGGATTGGAGTTTACTTATGGGGGTAATAAAATGTTCTAATGTGATAGATGCACATACATATGAAGGTACTAAAAACCACTCAAATGTACAATCTAAACAAGGGAACCATATGGTACAGAAATTTTATCTCCATAAAGTTGTGTTTTAAAAAGAATAACTTTATCACTTACAAGTTTAAAAAGTTCAATGAAGAAGTCACAACTTATTCATATTCTTATGTATACAAGCACATTCTTACACACCAATTCATAGGCCAACCTTACGTTTTTTAAATTCCAACTATTATATTTATAGGGTTAAGTTGGAATATACTATTTGGTGGCCCTGAAGAACAGAATTTATGCATTAACACTAACAAATTAATGTATTGACTAAATTCAAGTTTACTAACAGCTCATCTATCTAGCAACTTTGCCTAACAGGAAAAAGACCCCAGAACCAGAGGAGAAAATTTAAAAAGTCTCTGGGCTGGGCACGGTGGCTCAAGTCTGTAATTCCAGCACTTTGGGAGGCTGAGGTGAGAACAGCCTGGGTAACTTGGTGACACCTCATCTTTACAATAAACCAAAAAATTAGCTGGGTGTGGTAGCGCGCACCCGTAGTTCCAGCTACTTAGAAAGCTGAGGTGGAAGGATCACCTGAGCCCAGCAGGTTGACGCAGGGGTGGCTGTGAGTGTGCCACTGCACTCCAGCCTGGGCAACCCAGTGAGACTCCAACTCAAAAAAAAAAAAAAAAAAAAAAAAAGCCTCTGAAGTAACAAAATTGATACATGAAAACATATGTGCCTCCCCATCAACCCATCAGAAGAGTCTCCTACAATTTTGGGCCTATTACTTCCTCTGTACAAAATCTCAATAAGCTATTTATCAAGTTTCCAGGTCTATGACAAATTAGAAACAGAAAACCACAAAAGACAGGTAACAACTGGGACTAATAGACACACACACTGAGAGCAACAACCAGACGGCGATGGCAGTGAAATTGATGCAGGGTAATAAGTCAGTCACGATAATGCTTAAAGTAGAACCCAGAAGATGACGGCTAAGACCGGTGGAAGAGTAGAATTTAGGGGCAGACAATTCTCTGCCTCTTCATTGATTTGATAATCTAAAGAGCATTTAAAACCATGAATTCTGAATTTTATTTTATACATAGTTTAATTTCCTGCCGCTCTTTATCTTTGTCAACAGACTAACATTCTTGAGTTGAGGGATATTCAGTCTGTACTGTGATTTGAACATCACAATTAGGTTTGTATACACACTATAGGAATCACAAAGAAAATGACTCTACATCCAAATTAGTTTATGCCAACTGGATGTACCTAGTCCAGACTTTTAATCTGAAGTGGCTCTCACAGCAAGGATAATGGCAGGTTCTATTCCAACAGAGGTGTTTTCTCCGTGTTCTAAAACAGTTCTAACGTATGACTGTGACAGTACCCATAATCCCTTAATTTCCAATATGTCCAAGCTTGGTTCTCTAGCTTTTCTTTTGATCCTAGGCTACCAAATACCCTATCTGCTTAAATTAGCCTGAACACTCCAAGAGTTATGAACAATAGAGCCTAAACTTTTTTCCTCTTTGCCAACAATTAACTAGAATGAGGACTGCACATATGTACAGAAGTCTTCAAAAAAAAACATGAGTTCTCTTCATGGTTCTAATCGTGTAAGCTTAAGTGCTTTATATCCTTCTTTATTTAGATGAGATATCTATGAGCCTGTACAGTAAGTCCCCTACATATGAACGAGTTCTGAGAGTGTATTTGTAAGTATGGTATACATTGTCACATGCTGTACTGTAAGATTAAAAATGTTTTCTTGCCAGACATGGTGGCTCACGCCTGTAATCCCAGCACTTTGGGAGGCAGAGGCGAGAGAATTGCATGAGCCCAGGGGTTCAAGACCAGCTTGGGCAACTGGGCAAGACCTCGTCTGTATAATAAATCCAAAATTAGCAGGGCATGGCAGCACACGCCTGTAGTCACAGCTACTGGGAAAGTTGAAGCTGAAGGATCGCCTGAGCCCAGCAGGTCAAGGCTACAGTAGCTATGAGCATACCACTGCACTCCAGCCTAGGCAACATAGAGTGAGATATCAACTCAAAAAAAGAAATGTTTTGTTTATTTTTTGTGTTTGTTTTGTATATATTATTTGTGTGAAAACTATTATTAACCTATTATAGTACAGTACTATATAGCCAGTTGTATTAGTTGGGTATCTAGATACATTTTTAAACTTATAGTACAGCATGTGACAATGTACACCAGACACATGAACTAAATTAAGTCATTGGACATGCAAATGCATATTCACATCTTTGAAAGTTCACAACTTGAAGGTTCATATGTAGAAGACTTATTGTGAGCCGGGCTCGGTGGCTCAGCCTGTAATCCCGCGCCTTGGGAGGCTGAGGTGAGTGGATTGCCTGAGCCCTGGGTTCGAGACCCACCAGGGCAACTTGTTGAGATCTCATCTCTACAATAAATCAAAAAATCAGCTGGATGTGGTAACGCACACCTGTAGTTCTGGCTACTTGGAAGGCTGAGGCGGAAGGATCGCCGAAGCCCAGCAGGTTGAGGCTGTGGTGGCTGGGAGCGGCCACTGCACTCCAGTCTGGGCGACAGAGTGAGACTCCGACTCAAAAATAAAAAAAAAAAGAAGACTTATTGTGTCTCTAAAATATGAAGTCTTAGCAAGGTACAGTGGTGTGTGCCTATAGTCCCTGCTACTTGGAAGGTTGAGGTTGGGAGGCCAGCCTGGGCCACACAGTAAGACTCTCTTAAAAAAAAAAAAAAAAAGATATATAGAAAAAAAGCACAATACTTTACAATATTTTCTTAGCTTTTACCTGTATGGTAGTGAAGAAAGTACTCTGCTAGGCTAATGTGAACTGCTCCCCACTTCTTGGAATATTTTATTTCCACCGTACAGATCCCCTAATGTTTTTAAACACATAATTTCTAACTATACTCTTTATTCAGATTTTTACAATAAGATCACTTTGGCTTGCCTCCAGGGAAAAAATGTATTGGACTGGCAAAAGTAAGCATACAGCTCACCTGATATTTGTAATTCTCAATGTAAAAACTCCTGTATACTGGTGGCCCCAAGATGACAACCCTAGTTTTGATGATTCACTAGCAGAACCTGTAGTACTCAGCACACAATCATATTCATGGCTATGATTTATTGTAGTGAAAAGATATGAAGCTAAATAAGCAAAAGGAAAGGTGCATGGGCAAAGTCCTGAGAAAACTAGGTGCAAGCTTCCAAGAGTCCTTTGCAGTAGAGTCACTCATGTGTGAAGTGCTGTCTACCAGGAAAGCACACCAAAAACTTAGTGTCCAAGATATATAATCGATGACAGTCATGTAAGTATCCCTCTGCCTAGCACTTATCAAAATTCCAGACTCATAGAAAGCAAGCATGTGTTTAAAATAAATCATATTATTTGTATAAACAGTTTAGGCACAGTGAGCCATTCTTTTTTTTCCCCTTTATTTTTAAAGATGTGGGGTACAATTCAGAGTTAGGTATACAAATGTTCATTACCCAAGTACCCTTGTTGATGAGGCGTCTCCCTCTCTCCCCTGGTAGTTTCCCTCAACTGCCAAAGTGAGCTATTCTTATTTTTTGAGTAGGAGTCTCACTCCATTGCCCAGGCTGACATGCAGTGCGCACTCATGGCCACCCTAGCATCAACCTGCTGGGTGCCAACAATCCTTTCGCTTCAGCATTCCAAGTAGCCAGAGCTACAGGTGTGTGCTACTACGTCTGGCTATTTAAAAAAAAAATTTATTGTAGAGATGAAGTCTCGCCAAGTTGGCTGGGATGGTCTCGAACCCGTGGGTTCAGGCAATCCATTTGCCTCGGCCCCTCAAAGTGCTGGGATTACAGGCTGAGCCACCGAGCCCAGTCAAGTGAGCCATTCTTAACAAGGAATTGTGGGAAGTTTCCAGACATTAGCCAAGGAGAACCTTGCAAGACTTTTCTACAGAGAGTAGTCTCAGGACTGCTATGTCAACTCTTTTCTGCCCATCTTATGATTTTGTGTGTAACTCTCATGAGTGTTTTAAAATATCACTTAGCACCCTGGGACACAGATAAGATCATGTTTAAACCTGTAATGATGTAATGACTATAATGATGGTAAATGCTATCTGGCAGAGATACACGCATGCAGCAAGCTGTTACTATTGCATGCCTATCCATTAAAATTTATTTCCCTCTCACCCATTTAAGCAATAGTCTTTCTTGCTGCTATAAAATCAAATCTATCTTAGGAAGAGAATTGAGAAAATAAAACTTTGGGAATCACA